TTCTGATCTCTCTGCAGTTTCAGTTGAAGCTGTGCAGCTCCCCTCAGCCTTTTCTCCAGACCACCTCTCAGCAGCCCTTCTCAAGTTTAGCATCCTGGCATCTGGACAGGATGAGAACTACTCAGTTCATGAAGTCCTGGCTTCTTTTTAACAGTTTGCCTCTCAATTATCTGTCTTTTCTTGCATTTTTCTAAAAGCAGCAGGAAAATCCCACAATGCACTTTCAATATTTAGCTCAGAAGTTTCCTCAGTTAAATATGCAAATGTATCATGTATAAGTTCTGCTGTACATGTAACTGCAGGAGACAATCTGCTAAATGCTCTGCCACTTCCTCCAGGTTCGAGGACAAGCATCTCACTTCCTATTCCCCTTGGGGTCTGTCTTTCAAGGTCCAGAGCTTACTCAGTGTGTTCAAGTGAACATGCTCCTCAGTTTTCCTCCATAGCTTGGAGACGGGCTCAGTGGTGTAGAGCCCGCCTGGCATGTGCATGGCAAGCACATGGTGGCGGGTTCAAACCTCACCACCCTCCCCCCAAAAGAAAGTCCTCCTGCAACTTTTTGCATCCCTTAGCCAACAGTAATTCCACAGTTATTCCCACATCTTCAGGTGTCTGTTTGGGCGGCATCCCACTAATACCAGAATTTATGTTCGTTTTCTATTGCTAACAAATTACCCTAAACTTAGCAGCTTAAGGCAACACTCATTTATTATCTCACATTTTCTGCAGGTCAGGAGTCCAGGATTCTCCCCCAGATCAAAAGCTTTAGCTGGGCTGGAGCCTGTTTGGAGTACAGAATATAAAGTACTCCATGCTCACTTAAGCAGCTGGCTGAACTCAGGTGCTTGTGGTGTACGACAAGGCCCCATTCCATCACTTGCTGCCATGGAGGTCATTCTAAGTCTTCAAGGTCACTGGGTCCTTTCACCGAGACTGCCCCATCTCAGTGATGAGGGTTCTCCTTCACGTCAGCCTCCCCCGTGTCTCAACCCTCCAAGGGCTCTGTTACTAACCAGAGAAAATACTCTGCTTTAAAAAAGCTCAAGGAATTAGTTTAGGCCTACACAGATATTCTCCCTACTTGAAGGTCAGCTAATTAATAATCTTAATTAAATCTGAAAAGTTCCTTTTGCTATGTAATATAACGACCACAGGAGTAACAGCAGGAGGAGGTCATGAGGGCATCTTAGAATTCTGCCTAGCACGTGGGCCATCCACACAATCTTCTTTGTTTTTATAAACACTTCTCTAAAAATGTAAACTCTACTTCCCGCCTGCAGGCCTTCCAGAACCAGGAAACGAGCCATATCTGGCCCCTAAGCCAATGGGCACCAGAGTCACTCGCAGTGCTTGTGAAACCCAGTGAGTTGTGGTCAGTGAGTCTGGGACAAGGACTGAAAGTCTGCACTTGTGACAAGTTCCTGGCAATATGGGTGCTGGTCCAGGGGTCACTCTCTGAGAACCACCTGTTTCCAGGAGACTTGGCAAGTGACACGCAGTTCCACTATCTGTGAGGACGTTCACTGCAAGAGGAAACATTCCACACCTTGGTTAGTACCAACTTTGCTGAACAGCAGAACTCATCAAGAACCACGTGAATTACACAAAGCAAGGATTTAATCACAGTGATCGTACTGGAGACTAGAACGATGTGTAGGTGCCTCGCCATCATCATAGCTAGCCATGGCCCAGGGTAAGCTGGCCGGGTATCATTTGTTTATACAGGAAGGGTTTTGTATGTATCTTTATGAAAGAAGTAATAAGCTTGATTTTAGTAAGTCCTAATAAATATGCAAGTGAAAGTCCACTGGGGTTACACATTAAGAAAGAGTGCGTACTACAAGAAAAAAGGTGACTGTAAGAGAAAGCTCACATAAGACCGTGGTAGGAAGGATGCCATGGAGAACTAAGGAGAACTAACATCCTGCTATTGGCCACAGAGTAAGAAATGACGAAAGCCAGCAAATATTAAACCATCCAGCCATTTCAGGGTTTTTAACTGAAAACACTGGCAGCTAGCTGACTCATAGTACATGGGCAATTTACTGAAGGAATGAGGTGAAACAGAGAATCAGGTTAACAGCTAAGAGACTCAAGAAGCCTGAAATCATCCTGCAGAACTGCCCCAGCCAGGGAGCTTTGCTGTTTCCACAGGGCTCTTATGTGTCAAGGAATTTTCTTTACTGCAACTCTTACTGGCTCAGCAACAAAACCACATCTGCACGGGCAAAGCTGTCTTAGAATTACCACAGCCTCTGGCCTCCGGAGCTTCGCAGTGTGAGGGCAGTGTGTCTCCTCTGTGGGGTCCACACTGAGGTTCCCTAAATGATGGAGTGGTACAGTCCATCACAGAGCTCTACCGACCGACCAGTGAGACAGGGAAATGAATCCCACACCCCGTTAGCAGATGCAGAGCATTAGCTAGGACTTCCCAGTCACTAGAAAGTGGTCAGAAATACGAATGAATGAGAAGACAACATGTCTACCACAAAATGTGATGTATTAAGCACATAAAGTGTATTTAAAAGTCACCCATTTCTGTCCCTAACTAACCCATTTCACAATATATATTGTCAGTAGGGTCAGAGAATATCGGAGATGAACAGGACTTCAGAGATAATTTGCTCTAACCCTATTTCACTGAGCACTCAGTGCCCCAAATGATGAGCTCATGTACCAAGTCTACACGGCTGGGCGCTAGAACCATCTCAGCCTTTTCAGCTCTTGGGGTACCTTCAAGCACGCGGGGGTCAGGGAGGCGGGCGCCCCTCAGACTATACCATTACCTCACTGTTAAGCTCTGATTTCACCCACAGGGGAGCTCATTGTTTAGTCTTCAGAAAATCATTATGGCGACACTGATCTGTTTCTCTCAGTGCATTGATTTAAATTTTATGTGCAGAATTCTAGTTTCCTATTATTACCATGAAAACTGTAAACTTTAAACATGTTTTAAATAAAATTTATAAATTTTTAACTAGATTAAAACTTTCTCTTGACAAAAGGCTAATCTTGCCACAAGAAGAAATTACTCAAAAGCTACTAGAATAAATGTTTCCTTGTGAATGTACCTCTTCATTGTGAATGCACCTCTTATATGCATGTTATATCTCCCAAGGAAACTATAATTACAAAATTTGTCCATACAGCTAAAATTAAGTAGAGAACACGACTAGAGTTTATATAGCAAATCTAAACATTCTATTGGTATTATATTTTATGACCAGACAACTCACAGAATTATGACATTTAACCTCTGTGATGTACAGAGCTGTAAAACAAGCAAGGAGGTTTTGAGAAGGTAGAGAAAGAAGAAAAGCAAGAGAAAAGAACAAACATAACTACTGAATCTGAAGTGTGTTTTCACAAAAATGTTTTCTAATAGCAGAAGACAGATGGTTTTATCCGGATTTAAACATTATGTTTCAGAAGCTATTTATCCAGCACTGGCTCCTTATGGTAAACACACCCTAGAAATTCACTGTGCTGCATGACCAAAACAAAAGTTATCCAATCAGTGACCACCAAGCTAACGCATGTTACGCAGATCCACACACAAAAGTACTTAAACCAGAGACCAAACCACATAATTTTTGATGTTTTCATTTTCTTTGGGCAACGAGCACAATTTATATGGAAGTGGGAACAGATAATTTAAAATAAATAAAGCCACACAAAATACGTACCTCTTGGTGACATAGCCTTTCTCTTCTAATTTAAATCAGTTATTTCTATATAAGGGTACATTTTCTGCAGAAAAATGAGTGATCACTCAGACCAAAGAATAAAACAATTTAAAAATTCTATTAATAAATCCAGGATACTCAATTTCATGGAAAGCTGTACTTTTCCCACTTGGCATTTCTTTTCTCTCTGATAAACAGCTAGTTTTAAAAGGCAATACCCTCAAATAATAATTCTAAAAATTTAAAATACTGCGTAATCCACTATAGCAATAAAGATGAAATCTTGCCGGGAAACCCATCTGGACACACTGCCTTCACCCTCACCTCTGTCTCCAGGCGCTGAAGCCGCCTGGTTACACGACAACGCAGTTCCACTGCATCTGAAGTGCCCTGGAGATTCGCGGGCCAGTGTGAGAGCAAGCACGCTGCCACCTGGGGCTTCTGCTCACACATCTAAAGCTTACAAACAGCCCTCAAATACGACACTTTCACTTTAAGATTGAAGTATGTTCTCAAGTTTGTATATTTAATATTATAAAATATTTGTACTATAAGAGGAATAAATAGAAATCGTAACTAACACTTGTACCACATCATGGATTTCTCATAATCTAAATGACTGTGTGACATAATGCATCTCTCCGATTTAAATAAAGCGTGCAGATATTTCTCTCCAGTCATCTGCAATACCTTATGGGAATCTAGTTAAAAACACGAAGCGGGCTGAGGGATTGATTTGTAAGTGGTTATGATCTGGGGGAAACAGAATAGCTAGAGTTCTAAGCTTATGTTCTCTCAGAAATACTTCAAAATCTTTGTTTAAAAAAGGTGGAAAGTATAATGAGGTCAGCTCGTCTTGAACTTTTAAAAATATTTCACAGCAGTTCTGGAAAGTTAACCCATCAGGACCTAGAAAGCAGTATGTGGTCCCTAAGAGCAAACATGTCCTGCAATGTAGCACTTTAAGACAGGGGGCCAGACAGCTCCACCTGCATTACCTAGTTTTAACCTGGAAAGAAACAGTAAGTTCTGTAAGGAGTTTGGCTGATCCCATAACCAACCATTTAAAACATGTTCAACAAGGAAGATACATGTGGAGCTGGGGGTGAACTCTGTGAACGATAAAATATCTATGAAAAATCATTTAAGTGTATTTTTATAGAAAAGAAAAAAAAAACTATACCTGCCCATCCAAGGTTTAGAAATTTTTGACTGAGAAAGTTATTGGGCTGATTATAGACTTTTTAAAATTGGGCCTACTATAGACCTCAAACATAAACTGTATCCAGGTCATTTGAAGAGACAGATACTCACGGAATGATTGTAAGACGGTTCCAATGTCACAGGTAATGACATTTTCCCTTGAAGATTCAATTTTGTTAAGTAAAAAATCTTTTCCCCCACAATCTTTTCCTTTTTCATGCGATGCACACCATACAGTCGAAAGCGAACTGCATAATTTCCAATCATCTCAGACTCGACGTGATTAAATTTGAATGTTTCTGTGAAGACAGGGCATGGTCCTCTTTGGATGCTGGTTTTTGCTCGCTGTTTCTTTATAGGTAGAAGAACAAGGTGTACTTGCCACGAGTTGCCACCTGCCCTGTTATATGCTGGGATGTCTGTGACAGCTGTCACTGTTACCAAAAGCTTCTGTTCTTGTGAGTCATAGTCGAAAGTCACATCCAGGGTGCCGTATTTAGCTTCTGGCTCAGGGTCAAAAGGTTTGGGAAGCTGTGAAGATGATCCTTGAGCTGACATATCCTAAGAAAAGCAAGTTTAAATGTTTTCAGTTTTTAACTCCATTATTTAATCTAGCATGTAAATAAATGCCTTTATGAGGGAAATGTGAAAACAATCTTTATTTGCTATCACAAAAAAAGTACAATAAACAGCAGTCAACTACAATCAAAAGCCACCCTATAGGGCCAGAGCATCTAAGTGGTAATTTAAACTAAAACCTATGATAAAGATACGTTCTAAATGCAGTATGCACTATCACAACTTTGAGAAAGTGGGTGTATTTATAAATGAGAGCTTAAAATATATACTTTATGTGTAACTCTGTTCCCTTCGCAGGAGACTACTAAATTTTACCTTCTTAACATGATAATCATGAAACTGCCAGCTCAGTACTAGGCCACAGAGAAAGAGAGAGTAAATAATAATTATAATGCTATTGAAAATTCTGGTTCCATTTTCAGGATTTGTTCTCAAATGTCCCTGTCTACAACAGAATATTAACCTATTTTGACTTAAATATCAATGGAAATGTGATATGTGCTAGTGTAAAAAGGCCTCAAAGTATTTACTGCAGTCATAAATTTATTTTCCATGTCACAAACCATATTTATTCCATTTTTAACCAAATTAAACACAATATATTATTTTCCAATATTAATTACTGTTGAAATGGAAGAATACATATTTCAAAAGTGGAAGGCTAAGAGTGTACATACTCACTATGACACTAAAAGAACCTGTGCCCTTTTGACCTGTAACTGTCTCAAATTCCTGCCCGTCTATCGGGACTACAGTGGGGGTGTCACCTAGTGGCTGATAATGTCCAAGCTGGGTCTCTGACCTTTCAACCACATCACTATGCCCCTTCAAGTATTTTAATGAATCTTAAATTATTTTTATTTTAAAATGTGGACAAATTCTATAATTTCCTTGTTATAGCTTGTATCTAGACATCCTCCAAAGCCTCATGCAGCCACAGGTGGGGCTTTTCAGAGATGGCTGGATCTAGGGTGTGATGCTGGGATCAAGGAAGTGATGCTGGGATTGATTCATGGTACAGAGCTAGGATTAAGGGTGCCCCAACCTGGGTGTGAGTGCTACTTGCCTTAAGGGCAGGGAGCCTTGGTAGAATATAAAGGACAGAAAGAGGATGACTGTTGCTGCTTATTGCTCACTGCTTCTTCACTACTTTGCTGCTTTGCTACTTTCTGCCTGGATGGACTGTTTCTCCTCTGTGATGCCCCTCTGCCATGCCACCCTGCCATGGAGCCAGCCAACTGCGGACTGAAACCTCTATACACTGTGAGCCAAATAAACCTTTCCTCCTTTAACTTTGGGTGCCTGGTATTTTGGTCTCAGAAATGAGAAAACCAATTAAGACATTCCTATAACTGTATTTAGTGTCTACTATGGCAGTGAATACTGCTGACCCTCAGTTTTCCTTTTTCCATTTATTCAAAGTACGCCCTGAATTTTGGCCACAGACACACACATCTACAGAGACTGTTAGATCTCAGCACCTCCTTTGTAGTCTGCATGCCTATGGCCTCAGTCTTGGCCCTAACTATTGCCCCTACTATGTGCCAGTCTCTTTTAGGTGTGTGTGGGGGGGGATTCTTCTTTTTACAGAAGAAAACCAAAAAGACAGGAGTTGTTAAACACATAATTCTTTTTTTTTTTTGACACACACATATGTGTTTATTATGGGATGGGTTAGAGCAAGCATCTGAGCTGAAGGCCTGCTGCGTTGTTGCCGTGTCCAGAGGTCTCAGGCGCAAGTGAAGTGCAAGTGAACGTGGAGCCCGACACTGGCTGCAGAGTCAGGCCCGGGTGACTTCGGAGGGCCAGGTCCTGCCAGTGGCACAAGGGTCAGCATTGTAGAGCAAATACCACTTCCCAGCCACAAGAGAGGCTCATCAGGCCACTGGGCAAGGACCCCCAGGTCGGGTCCGGGACCCCTGGCCCGGAAGTCCATCAGGGTCCCACGGGCACTGCTTAACCAGGGAGTTGGAAACCCTGTGCCCTCTGTCATGTCACATATACACAATTTGCTCCCCTCTCTAACATCACCTCAGCTACAGACTGCAAACATGTAACTCTTATCCAGAAACTGGCACCACGTATGCAGAAAGAGATGACTCATGAAGAATAGCATCTGGGGAGAAGGAACAAATTTTCATAAAAGAATTGAATTTTTTATGTGCATGAATAAATCAGGACACACATATTATTACTCTTAAAAATAAGTTAGAGCAACTGTCTTCATGTATACTATTTCATAATTGTAATTAAAGATTATTAAGCTATATCTTGGATACTTCGATTAAATATTTTTAAAAATAGTATCATGATATCTAGGATTTTTGGGGCAATAAACATTTTTATAAGGTCTTGGATAGCTATTTATAAATTTAACTTCTCTGGTGCCTCCCTAATATATATATTTTTGAGAATTCTTACAAAACCCAGGGTTAAAGGGTGAAAATTTTATAGACAAAAGCTGCTATCTGCATTATTCAAGTAGACAGTAAGAAAATTCGTCTACTTTCAAAGTGCTTGGATCTAAGTTTGAAAAATACTCCAGCTAACCACAAGTCCTCAAAGGAGCGCACAGACTGCTTGTCATACAGTTCTTCTGAGCCCACTCTTTCCTCCAGCTCAGCTGAGATACAGACAGGTCTAATACCCACAGCCTGGATTAGCCAAGAGGTGAGGGAGAATTTCCATCTGATACAAAATGTCTATCATAGAGAGGCAAAATAAACTTGAAAAACTACAAGAGTAAATGTACAGGAGCATTGACTATTAGCATTTCACATCTAAGTGTTTATGTAACGTGTACTTGCTATCTTGTTTGAATATATTCAATGATGCTATAGAAGACACAAAAACAAGTCAAGTGAAGAAAATGTGAAAGAAGTGTTCACACAAGTAGCAAGTTAACAGCTCCTGAAATATAGGCAAAGCACAGTAAACCACAGACAACAGGGAAGGAAGCAGCATGTAAGACAAGGGAGAACTCACAAGATATGTTAAATATAGCAACTACGTTAACAACCGGTGAGATATATAAGGAATGGAAACTACAATGGAACAGAGTGAATGTTCCCATAGAGAGGGATGAAAAACCTAAGCCGGGATCACGCTGCTCCATGTGGACAGCTTTGTTTTACTCAAGAAACATAGATAAAACCCGCATCTGTTCAGGAGGCCAGCTGGCAAGTTTCAGGGGTGGCCAGACGTATTGACTCCTAAATCTCCTCCATAAAGCAAGTGTAGCCTTGTTCAAACCCCAATTCCAGTGCTTGTCATCCCAGGATAGGTGGGAGCGCTGATAAGAGGCAGGATGGATGGGTATGGCAGTGAGGTCTTGGTACCTGCACCTACTGACACCCTAGGTGCATTAGCCTACCTCGTCTAGCTCCTCTTGCTTCTTGTTTGGATCTAAAATGGATTAAAATAAGATACATGTGTGCAATCCTGTGCATCACCTGTGGAGCCAAATGTGGTCTGTGTGTTCTGGGGCACGTGAGCAGGGCGTGGCTGCACACAGTGATCTCCCACACCAAGGCTGGGATCGAAGTGAGCAAGCTAACAGCTAAGAGCACTGTTTTCATCCTCAGGCAGACCCGGGTCCGAACTAGTTCCACTAGTTAAGAGCTGCTGCCACCTGGGCAAACTGCTTAACTCTCGGAGCCTCAATGTTTTCATTTATAAGGCAGAAGGAACAACTTCCTGGAGCTGTGACTGGGAGAATTACGTGAGCTGACAAAAGCCCACAGCAAAGTTCCCAGGCACAAGTGGTGCTTTTTATTACTGTTAATTCTACAATCCAGGCTTCACTGTTAACTGCTGGCTAGCTGCACAGTGAGCAAACACCCACAAAGCACCTGCCTTAACACAAACATTCTTGGAAAGTTATGAAATACTGATGTATTGAAGTATCAAGGTAAAGTTCTCTTCTATTAGATATACTAGTATATAGCACTAGAAAAGCAGGAAAGTACTTTTTAACTATACAAGAAAAACCTTCAAATTAAGGAAGTTCTATCCACAACTTAATTGCTCTGCGCATGGGAAACTAGCTTCATTATTTAGTTGGACAGATGGGAAAGCTCACCATGGAGAGACCCAGATACACCACAGTATCACTGACTGTTGTCAGGAGTAAAGGTTACAAAACTCTCAATTCCAAACTTATAAGGAAAGTGAATCCTAAAAGGAAATACTACCCTACGAAGCCTCCTACATCACCTTTATAGTTTTTATCATTACAGAAAGACTCACACAAATCCGTTTTAGAAAATGGCAATACTTTGAATCTGCAATGATTATTTTTGTTGTCACTGTTACATTTTCGCTCAAAAAAGTAACTTGAATTCAACCAACCAACCAACCACTCTGAAGACATGAATGCCATGAATTCAAATTTCATCAGTAAAGCTAATCATCACTGATCCCTTTCATATTCTATAAAATGAAAATACAGTAAGGTTATTTTGAAAGACTTGTGCAATATCATAACAGTCTAGTAGTAATGTCCATCAACAGACAAATGGATACAGAAATGTGGTATTTACACACAATGGAGTACTACTCTGCTATAAAAAGGGTGAATGTGAACCATTTGCAGGAAAATGCATGTACCCGGAAAACAATTTTAAGTGAAATAAGTCAGACACACAAGCTTAAATACCATATGATTTCTCTTATCTGATAAATCCAAAGTATGAATAAAGAGCAAAATAAAAGATAAAAGCAAACAGGGAGACAGAGCTACTGCAAATGGGAATAGGAGGGAGAGGTAACAGACAGGGTAGGGGAGCAGGGGAAGGGGACATAAAAAAAGAATTAAGATGTGTCACGCATGTACCAAATGCCCCCAGAAAGTAGTCGTATGTGTCGTTAACATTTACTAATAAAGATTTAAAAATTGAAAATAATAGAAAGATAACTTCTAGATGAAAGGAAAAGGTAAATAATTCTAGAATGCTTTATATAAAGTGTCTAAAAACAACCACCATCTCTCCTTGGCTACTAACGCTCTCGGACCGGAGTGGGGTGCTGAGGACCAGGCGGAACAGGGCTGCCGAAGAACGGAAGCCGGTAAGACCAGCTCCGAAGGGGCAGGACGGGGCTAGGACCCCTCTGAGCAGCCCCGGATGGGCATGGATGGGCTTCCCAACAGCAAGCACGGAAACTGCTACTTACTTCCGGGCTCAGGACGGCGGTGCTGTCGCTTGGGACATCTTCTTCAAATCCTTTATTATGGAAACTCTCTACTTCACGGCCTGTGCTTCCTTCACTCGGGCACTTGTTATATGAGCATCTCGGACTGTTGCTGCAGTGGGGAAACTCGCACTTACTGTCCCCCACCTCCGAGGGCGTGCAGGAGAGGTGAGGGGACCCACTGTCATCCTGATACGGCGGCGGCTGCAGCTCGTCCAGCGGGGGCGTTCTTCTCATTCTCTGAATGCAGTTTCCTGACAAGGACCAAGAGACTGTGTCACTGTTTCCAGTCAGCCTCAGCATGCAGTACAGACTACAGTACCTGTGAATTACCTAAAACCTGGATTAAAAAACTGCGGCAGAATAATGCTTAGGGTTTCTAAATAAGTCTCCTCAGGTACAGGAATAAAATAACCAGGCTCCCTGCTCGTCTCCTTCTGCCTGATACGATCAGGAAGAATAAGTCATGTAGTAAGCGATCCTGCCACACACCATGAAGCTGAGCATTAGAAAGCTTATTTGGTTCTCTCTGTCCTAACGAGCAGCACACACTTCGTCGAGTAGTCCTTTGCCTTTCTAGGCAAAGCAAACACGAAAACCTAATCCATTTTCTTCTGGTACGGAGATGAACTGAGGCCAATATTGTGCTGAGCAGCGCCAGACCGTTCTCCACACGTGCCCTGGGTCCCGCACCCTAAATGAGCCACCCACGCTCAGGCCCAGTTCCCATTCTCTGACTTCCAGCGGCCAACCAGGATACGAGGCTGGGCCTGCTTCCCAGGGTAAGGGGCCCTCCTACCCTCCCTGTCCTTGTCCCGTAGCCAGTTCCACCTTGCCCATCGCGGGCAGCAGTAACAGGAAACTACAACTCACTTCACTCTTAAACGACCCTTTCAATATTACCGTGATGACTTATGGCAAGGACTGAGAATAAATGTATCTGTGAGGAGGGTGGAGCCAGGAGTGGGCAGGGTTATGGAAACAGAGCTCAGGGTACACTATAAAGTTATAAATTAAGTCTGTGTGGAGAAATCTTGAATATGACATCAAATATTAAACACTGCTCATTTTTTATGGACTGTGCGTCTTCTTTATCACAAGGAACCCCGAGAAAGGTGGTTTGTATTATAACTGTCATGGAATTCAGTTCAAATACTCAATACAGTCTCTGTTAATCCTAACAATGGATAAATGTCCCATAAAAACTATAAGCCTTATTTAAAAATGACTACAATATATGGTTCAAGTAAAAATATTAATTAGTATTAGCTTGGCATAAGTGTATACATTTGATCAGAAGCTCTAATTTTGAATTTAAAAAAACTAAGATCTTATCTCCTATGTTTAAAACAGGATTACTGAATTAGTATACTTGAAGCTAAATTGGAGAAAATACACACATTGCAAGTAGCAGCCAAGAAAAATGCAATGCCAGAACAAGAGAGACAAGTGGCTTTCAGCGACAGTACGATGCAGCTCTCCTGTGGGTGGCCCGGCGGGGAGGCGCCCTCTCCCACGCAGGGTGGCCAGCGAGATTCAAGCAGAAGACTTCGGAGCAGGCTTCCAAGACAGCTTTCGTTTCCTTGCTAAAAACTGGCAGACTCAGTCTACACCCCTTAACCCCTCCATCTCACCTCCTGCTTGAGGGTACAGCAGTCACCTTGTGACCACGAAGCGACAAGCATGGGGAAAACACTGAGAACGGAGCAGAAACACGAAAGGCATACAAGTATGTGAACCTGAAAACATGCTTGAGACAAAGCCCAGTTTGTTTAGTAACAAAAAAGAGCGATCTGAGAGGCAGATTTCTATTGTTTTCAAGTAAGTCTCCATCAATATAGTCTATAAATCCTTAAAGCAATATCCTGCACTTCTTTAACAATGCATATTTAATCAGGTATCAAACTAAAGAGTAATACCTAAATACTTACTGTAGCATGAAGTCAACTAGAAATTTCCCAATACAGTGGTTGTGGGAGCCCACACACCATTTTTCCCTTTACCTTTTCTTGGAGGAGAGCTGATCTCTCCCAGCAGGCTCAGTATGCAGCCTGACAGCTCTCACAGGACAGAAGCCAGTGGTGGGTCTCTTCTAAACCCATCCCCGGCAGGAGAGATGGAGTTACTATAATTGGCTTAGTTTGATCAGAAGCCATTAAAAATTTTGCAGGTAGGGATGGATTAGCTTCACTGACCACATCTGTCTATATGGAAAGTAACAGATGCCTGAGCCACGTGAGGAGAGAGCACCCGGCTGGAGCGCACACCCAGTCCAGGCCTGGCAGTCTTTGTCCTCCACTTTGGCAATTTGACCTCAGTTTTTATCTTGATTACATTTTTTTCTCTGTGTGGCTCTTCTTTCCCTTCAATAACTTCCTACTCAAACAGTTCTTCTCTCAATTTCCTTTTGCTATGATCAAGACCATATAATTTCTACTTAGTAATAAAGTCATACCTTGTTTCTTGATTTGCTTTTTGATACTAGTTTCCCCCGGCTCCTGTTTATAGACCCAATCTAACTTCGCTCTAGAGTCCAAGGCAGATCACATGAACGGTCTGTTATATCTAAAGAGCCTCAGTCCATTCAGTGGGGAGATCTTACTACTAGTCTCTAGATTTGAGAAAAACAACATTAAAGTTGTGAATTGGAACATATACTTTATTTTAACCACAGCATATGCTCAAAGTTTTGAAAATAATTCCACACTTTTATTTTTATTTTGTATTTTACTTGTTGATGTGCAGAACATACAAATGTGGAATTAAAATGAAAATTTCCCCGCCTTTTAAGTTTTTATTCTGACAACTACTTCATGTTATTTACACAATGTAATAACTAAGAATTGGTTTAATTGATATTAAAAATTTTTAATGCATTTGTTTTATAAAGTAACAGAATTTATATTATTGTTAAATTACACACTAAACAGCAACCATAAAAAGAAATTTCTAGTGAGACTATCAAATGCCAAAATGGTGATGCCTTCACATCTATTTAATTCTTCTTTACTGCCTAATTTCATAATCTTATTTTTATGGAAATCTTATATCCATGAAAGGATCCAGTATAGATACATCTCAAGCATTTTAATTTACCATCTGCATATTACAAGCACTGCAATATTACAAGCATTATTTGTCAAAACTGATTATAAGCTGAGGAATAAATTAAGCATCAACACATTTTACAAAATTTGAACCAAAAAGGATGTTATCTGACCACTGCAGAATTAAACTAGAAACAAAAATATAAATAGAAAATCTATAGAAAACTGAACAAAATAATGAGAAGTTAAAATACACTCTATCCCATGGATCACAGAAGAAATAACTGTCATCAGATATGTGTTAAAGAAAATGACTAAAATAATCCCACAAACACTCATGTGATGTGTCTAAAGATATATTCTGAAGGAAATGTCCAGGTCTACATGCACATGTGGCAGGGGGTACAGGGGGAGGGTGTTGGAAAATAATGATGACCTAGGCATACACCTCAAGAAATTTTTTAAAACCCAGCAAATTAAACCCAAAATAGGAGAGATGAAATAATGATGAGCAGAAAAAGATTTAGGAATGCATACTTAAAAAGCACTAGCAAACCAAAATACAATTCACTAAAGACCCTAACAAAATTGATGAAGTGATTAAACACATCAGTAAGGAAGAAAAAGAGAGATGGCATAAATTATTAACATGGGGTGAAAAAGAAGAGGTCATTTCAAGTCTGCAGACATTCCAATGATGTTTTCCCTGCCCGTCCCTGTGCACTAAAGCTACTGAGTGGGGCACAGGGAGGTGGGGGTCCACACCAGGGGGCAGGGAAGCCACAGGGCCTAGAACAGCATGGCACAGCCCAGGCATGAGGAAGATGCATATGTATGTGGGAAGCCCAGTGCGCAGCTATCTGAGGGCCACATGACACAAGTATTGGTGTTCACGTGGGGAGCCAAGCAGGAAGCAGTGTCAGAACCCAAGGGGCACAAGAGCCTTCATCTGAGGGAACAGCCAGGAGTGGGTGCCAGTGCCCATGGAGGGAAAGAACGCAGTGCAGCAGCCCTACTCAGAGACCAGGGCCCAGGCAGGCAGAGGCCCGGGGAGGGCAGCCAGCACCTCTGCAGGAAAAATGGGTTCCCTGTGGAGGAATGGCCTAGACTAGGGGAAGAGAGAAGGGCTACGACCTGAGAAGTACAGTCACAGCCTGACACAGGGCTGTGGAGCTGAGTGACTGCCGTGGGCTGTGTGAGCCCTACTAGGGCTCAGAGGGTGCTGTCCACACAGGAAGCCAACCCTATGTGGGTTGGGGAGTGAGCATGGTATGGGGAGCCTGGAGCCTGGTGGTACAGCCCAAGCTGGGTGAGGAGACAATTGTGCGGGAAAATCTGGACCACAGCACAGTGCTGAATGTAAGCAGGAAACAGGGAAGAGTGAGGCAGGGGATTAGGGCGCAGCAAACTGGCTGGGCAAGTGGGTGAGACTCATCAACCACGGAGATCCAGGACACTTACACAGGCGCCCTGTGCCCGGAACCAATCGGAAAGCGCTATCTTCAGTTCTTCTTGGGAGAAAGCAAGCAGGTTTTGAATAAGACAGCCCAGCTCTGACAGCCGCCAGTAAGTTACCACGCTCTCTCACAAAGGTGGCTCTCACTCTGCAGAGTGCACTTCTTTCCCTTCTTTTAATTGGCCTGCCCTTGCTCTGCAGAGCATGTTTCTTTTCCTACCTTTAATAAATGTAAAATCTCACTACCTTTTGCACTTGTTTTATCCAATTCTTTGTTCAGGCCAAGAACCTAGAAAGACTCTCTAGAAGGATCCCCAGGACCCGGTAACACGAGCATACTTAGGGTGACAAGCAGTGGCTCGGGATCGCTCAGCAGTGAAGATGGCATGCCCAGCTGCACCCCATGGCCAAGGGAAAGGTGCAGGCCACAGCTGTGCTGCTTTCTCTGGCTTAACTTGCACCCTCGGCCTCTGGGTGGCACAGCAGGACCAGGCACCGAGGAGGGAAATGGCATCTAAGGGTACAGCGACACCCGCAGCAGTGGCCGTTCTGTGACCACCCAGGATAACAGAGAAGGAAGATCTCAGCGGCAGAATCCCTTGAGGCCCACTGGGTCCTCAGGTTTGCTTAGGAGGGTGGGTCTAGTGGCTGGGTGGCTGCCAGTGGTCTGGCTGGATGCAGGGACACTGGAGGACCACGTCACCTGGGACGGCTCGGGCCCAAAGGCCCAGCGCCCACCTCACTGTGTGAC